AGTCCATCATGAATGTGTGTGTGTCAGAGTCCATCGTGTGTGTGTCAGTCCATCATGTGTGTATGTGTGTGTATTTCAGTCTATCATGATGTGTGTGTGTCAGTCTGTCAGAGTCCATCATGTATTATTATTATTGTATTAATGTTATTGAATTTCCTGGTTTTCCTTAAATTTTTAGAGGTAGTGATAGATTAACTTCCTTGGAGCTTCATAAATTACTAATTTCTTTCTGTGAGATTAATTTCCAACACTTTATTTATATAATGCTTTATTACTGTATTTATTTACTTACTGTACTTATTTACCGTACTTACGGTAACCGAGCATTAAAATATCTCTGGCGCTCTCTCGTGGTCGTCTTATGTAAGTGCAGTCTAATACGTCATCAACAAGAGACGCAGTATCTCAAGATAACAAACGCAACAATGGTGGGTATCCGGTTTGTTTCAATTTTCCTTTAATTTACAACAAAACACATTATAATTGAACCAGTCATTGACTTATTCAAATCTTAACAAATCACTCTATTTATTTTTATCTCTAAACTCAAGTAGTGACTACTCGACATGATGATGTAGCCCGGTGCTAACTAACATTAGCGTCTCGTACTCTTTACAGCTTTTCTACTCGTTTTTCAAGTCGCTGGTCGGGAAGGACGTGGTGGTGGAGCTCAAAAATGATTTGAGGTTAGTTTGAGCTTAACTAAACCAGTCAACATGTGATAATGCTCTTTAGCTCCTGGTATTTATGCGCTGAAAGGACGTCAATCACTGCTAATCACCGGAGCAGCAGCATGCGGGATGCTATGAAAAAGAGCTACTGTTAACCTGACATTAATTAATGATTATTTAACTACTCTATGTTTCCATGCAAGTCCACCTGCAGTTTAACAGAATGGAAAGAAATCACAACGTGAGACAGAAATGCAGTGATCAGACATAATTATTGAGCCTCACTTTGCAGCAGTTTGTTGTAAAACGTGAACCTGGGGTCATTTTTGTCTTTAATTCTGGTTTTAGCATCTGTGGAACGCTCCATTCTGTGGACCAGGTAGGACAAACTTGTTCACAAAACTTATTTTAAACCAAAACGTCTCAGCTTTCAGTTTGCTGTCATGTGTATGTCCTCATCCTTTGTGTCTTTAGTACCTGAACATTAAGTTGACAGACATCAGCGTCACGGACCCAGAAAAATATCCACACATGGTAAGTTGCACTGATTGCTTTCGTCATTTACTCTTCTCAGCTCTTACCACGTTCTGCTTTTTGTAGGAAAATGTGGTCCCATGACTTCCATGTTGAGTTTGTTTGCCATGAAAATAAAGAAGCCACTAACATGCAGGGGCAGCTGTTTCACAGTTTAGTGGCAGCATCAGCAAAGGTCCAATCATCAGCCTCAACTCGAGACAACTAAGTAACAAATCTTTAGATGACGAGGTTTGGAGACTACTGAGGGTCAAAAAGATATAAAGTTAACCTATTTTATTCAAAGTTTGCAGTATTTTTTAAGATCAATGTGGAAATGAACATGAGCGTATAAACAGCGTGAGGCAGTTTGGAGACTTCTTGTCTAGTTCAGAGTTCTGCTGAGTTCTCTCAAATGAAGAGATTAACATATTGGTGGAACTCAGGAAGAGAAAGAATAAAAAAAGACCAATTCTTACAGACTGGTAGCTTATTAAAGGTTTTTTCACAGCCCACTCTGCGCTCTGCTTCAAAGCAGGATCAATTCTTCAGCCAGGTAAATTCAGGTTTCAGCATCACAAAGCCGGGTCATTTTGTACCTGGGTCAGTTACTGTAGTTCTGGATAAGAGATCAACCAGTCGAGTTCCTTATAAAGACCAAAAAACAAAACAAAATGCCATCTATGTTTTTTCTGTCCCGCTGAGTTCTACTGTTACTTTTCTAAGAAACGTCTTCATGTGAGATCTCAGCAGAACAGGATAAATAAACCAGATCCCTCCAAAGTTTGATCCAAAAACATTTGACATCCTTTAGATAAAAAAACATCTTGATTATAAAAGATTTCCTACTGTTGATTGTATTAAACTATCTGTTCATTTCCATAAAAAGTTTCACAGAATCTCAAATCAAACATAAACTTGCTCATGATGGACAGAAAAGGAAGTTTAAATCCACTCACTGGACTGAACTGTTTTTCCTCATTTAATGTTATTTATTGGCCTCTTAAATCACACATATAGTGTTTGTTGCATCATGGTGACATCAGACTCCTCCGTGTGTTTCACTGTGCTCCAGTTGTCGGTGAAAAACTGCTTCATCCGTGGATCGGTGGTCCGATACGTTCAGCTGCCGGCCGACGAGGTGGACACTCAGCTGCTGCAAGACGCTGCACGAAAAGAAGCCATGCAGCAGAAGCAGTGATGAGGGCGGTGGGTCGGGGTGGGGGGGTTCTAATGACTAGTTTATGTTCTGAGGTCGTTCTTACCTCAGAGGACGTTTGTTTGATTCTGACTTCTGTTGTAGACAAATTCAGTTCGTAGTCTGGAGAGAAGAAATCTGACGATCTGTTGTGTTCTTTTGAAACAAGACTTGTTTTTTTTTATGTCACTTAAAAATAAAAGTTATTTATATTTTGATCAAGCATACTGATGTTCTTATTTAGTTTTGTTATCAATATTAAAATGTCCTTACATTTATCTCCTTGATCTAATCAAAAAACAGGTCTGGAATCTAGACTTGTCTGATCATTTCTTTTTTTGCCAGCTCTGGATGTTTGAGGCGTTAACTCATGCAATGATAAACATTAGCTGTTAGCTCGTGATGATGAACATAAGCTGTTAGTTCACGTGATAATAAACATTAGCTGTTAGCTCGTGATGATGAACATTAGCTGTTAGCTCGTGATGATGAACATTAGCTGTTAGCTCGTGATGATGAACATTAGCTGTTAGCTCATGTGATGATAAACATTAGCTGTTAGCTCGTGATGATGAACATTAGCTGTTAGCTCGT